ACTTTTCACCTGCCACGGCTGGCTTATTTTTTTTCAAAGTCTAGACCTGCTCTTTTAGCAGAAAGGACACTCTGAGCCCCACCATCAGGAGGGAGTGGGGCTCCACCATCAGAGAATACTGGCTAAGAGGACAGGTGACTGTCCTCAGGGGAAGAAGGTGGGTGTTCTGATGGAAATGAGCAGAGATCCCTGGAAGCTTGTCAGTGTCAGTTTGGGAAAATCAATGTACTTAGGTGACAGATTTGCTTAAGGCTTTTCCTTGTGGATCCAATGCCCACACCTAGACAGACAGTTGGGGTTACTGTGCAGGCCTCACTGAAGGAGGGCCTGCCGGAAGAGCTCCTGACAACCCCCGGAGGAGCCAGCCCCTCCCTGCAGGGCCCGAGGGGAATGCCGAGGATCAGGAGGGGATGAGAAATGGACTGAATTGTGCTCACCCCCCAACTCCGTCCAAACATGTGTTGACATCCTAACAGATCATCAGCAAATCTGATGTTTGGTAATAGGGGGTTTTCTTTGTCATGTTAATTGGGTCAGCCAAATAAGGAGGGTTTGAAACCTAATCACCTCTGACTTACAGAAAGGAGATGAATGGACAGAGACATACACACCCAGGGAAGACGGACGCCACATGCAGGTTGTGCTGAACTACCTGGGCTGACTGACAGGAAGAAGTCACACAACCTAGACTCTGACTTGGACTCCTAGTCTTCAGGATGTCAGGAGTTCTTTAAAAACCCCCACTGTGGTTCTTGTGTTACAGCAGCACCAGGGGGATGAGCAAGCAGACAGGAGCAGGGCAGCTCCTCCTCTGTACGGAGAGTGAGTGCCTCCTCTGGGAGCTTCAGATTGGAGGCAGAGGGAGGGAAAGCCTCAAGGACACTGTGACCTTGAACTTGCAAATTCTGTGGTTGGCTGGGTACTGACTTTATATTTTGGAAAAACCCAACCCAAACCAAACTCATTTCCCCCCTCCCTTCCTCCCGAACCCTTGATAATTTATAAATTATTATTATTTTTTCATGTCTTACACTGTCCGATGTCTCCCTTCACCCTCTTTTCTGTTGTCCGTCCCACAGGGAGGGGGTTATATGTAGATCACTGTGATCTATTCCTCTCTCTCCCCCACCTTCCTCTTCCCCTCCTGGTATCGCTACGCTCATTGTTGGTCCTGAGGGGTTTGTCAGTCCTGGATTCCCTGTGTTTTCAGCTCTGATCTGTACCAGTGTACATCCTCTGGTCTAGCTGGATTTATAAGGTAGAATTGGGATCATGATAGTGGGTGGGGGGGAGAAAGCATTAAAGAACTAGAGGAAAATTGCATGTTTCATTGGTGCTATACTACACCCCGGCTGGCTCGTCTCCTCTCTGCGACCCTTCTGTAAGGGGATGCTTAGACCTCATTCTTATCCTCCTTCAGGAGCCCTGGTGCTGTAGTCGTTACCCATTGGGCGATGATCCTCATGGTCAGCAGTTCGAAACCACCAGCAGCTCCTTGGGAGAAAGACTGGACTTTCTACTCTTGAGAACAGTGACAGTGTTGGAAACCCACAGGGAGTTGCTATGAGTCAGCATTGACTCAATGGCAGTGAGGTTATTATCATTGTTCAAAACAAAACAAAACAAAACAAATAACACAATCCCTCAAACTCACTGCCGACTCATCTCGACCTTAGAAGAGAGGGTAGAACTGCCCCTGTGAGTTTCCAAGGCTGTAACTCTTCACAGGAGTAGAAAGCCTCATCTTTCTCCCACAGAGTGACATTTGGGTTCAAACTGCTGACTTCAAAGTTAGCAGCCCAGTGAATAACTCACCATGCCACCCAGGCTCCTGATAGTATCACCCTTAGTGTCCTGCTTTTGTGAAATTGGTCACCTTGAGAATTAGGCCCAGCAGGCTGGCTCAAGGGCTTTTGTTCAACATGCCCGGCTGAGAAGTATGGGGTGCGGGTGAAGGCCTGTGGATGATGGGGTCAGGCTCACTGTCTCAGGCTTCTGGTAGCTTGGTCCTTGGATGATGTGGCGCCTCTTAAAGAAGGAGGGGAAGAGGGGATGAGAATTGGAAGTGGGAAGTTGTGTGCTCTGGTGTCTGGGCATTTGGGGGACTTCGTCTATGGAGGGCTGCCCTGGGAAATGGACACTAGAGGTTCTCCGTGTATGTTGTGTCTGGTGTTTGGGGACCCCGAACTGAGAACTGGGAGTAGGCAGGAAGCAGCCAAATGCATACAGAGACAAAGATTCCTCTAGGTGGTCCTTTCTGCATCTCTGGTCACTTCCAGAGAGGTGCCAGGTCCAGGCAGAAACAGCTCTGCTCTGCTCTTCTGAGCCTGACGAGGCTGCATGGTCCAAGGGGGCCTGGAGTCCAGAGGCTCAGAAGGACCTTCAAGGCCACCTAACTGGTCCCCCTGCCTCCAGGCCAATGGGCAGTTAAGCCAGATGGTACAGGTAGATTTTTAACCGATTTGAAAATAGCCCCAGTGTTTGAAACTATACATCGTCCTAGGTTCTGGCTCCAGCGTGGCTTACTTGTATTCCCACGGTCAGAAGCACCTCCTTCCTCCACTCTACACTTCCGGCTGACTCTCTGGCCTATTTCCTTTCATACTGTTCCATGCCTGCTACGATGCCTCTAGTCTTTCCTACTTTTCACCTGCCACGGCTGGCTTATTTTTTTTCAAAGTCTAGACCTGCTCTTTTAGCAGAAAGGACACTCTGAGCCCCACCATCAGGAGGGAGCGGGGCTCCACCATCAGAGAATACTGGCTAGGAGGACAGGTGACTGTCCTCAGGGGAAGAAGGTGGGTGTTCTGATGGAAATGGGAGCCAGCAGCTGGGTCTAAAGGAGGGGAGCGTCTTCTGCCTGGAGAAGGCAAGCATCCTGAGATAAGGAGGTAAGTGTCTTGGGTTTAAAGGAGGTGAGTGGCTTGAGTCTAATGGAGGTGAGTCATCTGGCTAGAGGGTAGATAGGCGTTAACTTGGGCGAAGGGGAAGGCAACATGCACTAAGAAGGAGGTTGGTCAAAATGGATGGAAAGAGGGCAAGATGTTGGAGGATTTTCAAGAGTTAGAGGCCACAGAAGCAGTTACCGTTATAATCCACTCCTGGCACAGTGGCTATCTGTGAGCAGCTGCTTGGATAGGCGGGCAGCCTAAATAAGTGTGGGTGAGAGAGCGGGAACACACTCACACACAGACACAGGTTTGAGAGAGAACATTTGTGCACGAGTATGTACTTTTGTGGCAAATAGATCCATGGATGTGATGGAGCAAACAGGGGGTGACATGATGAAAATGTCTTAGACATAAGGAAACATCGTGTTGGAATGTGGCATTGGGGCTCAAGGATCAGGACATGGTCTCAGGGGACACCAAGTTCAGCTGGCATAATGTGGTCTACAAGGTCACAATTCTACACTTTGGTGAGCAGTGACTGGGGTCTTAAAAGCTAGTGAACAGCCATCTAAGGTGCAACTCTGGGTCTCTCCCTTGCTGGAGGAAAGCAGAATGGTGGAAATAAAAAGACATAGGGAAGTACGTCTCATGGACTAATGGACCATGCAGACCACCAGCCTCCACGACCCAGAGGAACTAGATGGTGCCCGGCTGCCACTACCAACTTTCTGGACAGGATCACATTAGGTGGTCCTGGATAGAGTGGGAGGAAACTGTGGAACAAAATCCAAAATCATAAACAAGACCAGGTTCACTGGTCTGACAGACACTAGCAGACCCTTCAGGACTGTAGCCACCACACTTTGGATCCGGAACTAAACTCACTGCAGCAGGTTAGAACAATCAACCATTTAGGATCAAAGGGGTAGCATTCATCTGAGGTTCAGAGGCTTTGGAGGGAAGGAGGGGTGGGAACAGGAACCTCAGGGAAGAAGCGGGGTGAGTGACGGCACATCACAGGGACAGCAATGGATGGCTTGCAGCAAAATGTGTGTCAATAGCTTGGCCATCAAACGGGTGGTCTGCTTTGTACACCTTCATCTAATTCATAACAAAGTTAAAAAAGGGAGGGGGTGGTTAAGTGTCTTGGGTTTAGAGGGGTGAGAGGCCCGAGTCTGCCCTGGAGAGCCCCTGAGGCTGGTTTAGACTGAAACCACTGTGGTGACATGGCTTAGAGAAGGAGCTCCGGGTCTCACCTCCCAACCCATAGTCACTGAGTAACTTCACACACCATACACCGTGCCGAGAACCGCGGCAGCTCAACCCTGTGCCTGCCTTGAAGAAGCCCCATCACGGGAGAGAGCGCAGAGACAAACAGACTCTTTCTTGGCATGTGGGAAAGGGGCACACGGAAGCAGGGTAGAGCGAGTTCCCAGGTGCCCCTGCACAGGGCGAGTTCCCCCGGACAATCTCTCTGACCTACTGGACAGTATGGAACCCGGGTGTTCCTTGTTTTCTTTCTGCGACTTTCTCTGTCTTCTCGGAAAGGAGCAATGCACACGCTAGCCCCCCAGAGGCACGCAACACAGGCAGCAGAAGTCAAGCATGTGCAGGCATGGAGGGAAGGAGCTGGATGGGTGAGGGTGGCTGGGAAAGAAGGCGTTCTTTCCTGCCAGGGGAGGTGTGGGAGAAGGTGAGTGGATAAGGTGACCAGACGTCCTGCTTTTGTTGGGACAGTCCCGATTTTTAACAATTTTTCTCGCGGCCCGCAGCTTTTTAAAAAAAGTCCCAATTTTTGGAAAGGATGCACGACAAGCAAGGATATACAGTTTTTGGCTGCCATGTGGTTATTTCGCCAGGATTTGAGTTTTATTAATGGTGTCCTGCTTTACCAATGTTAAAATCGGGTCACCTTATGAGTGGAGGGAAAGGAATCTCACCTGGTCAGGAATTGGGAAGGCTACGAATGATGAGAAGGACAGAAGCTATTGGGTAAAGGCCAAATACAAGCCCCCCACAAAGCCAATACTGTGCTTGTGCTGACAGCCATAAGCTACCCCCCCAGGCGATGGGCAGGGCATAGGCTGCAGGGATGGGGCCCTGCCTCCGCCACAGTGCTCTTACCTGTACTGGGTGACCGCAGGGTTGGCCTTGGCCGAGCAGTGGAACGTGACATCGTTGTCCTCTAACACCGGCTGGGGCTCCACAGATAGGTTGACAAGAGGGGGATCTGCCGGGAGAAGGGTCGGGCTTACACAAGCAGGGAGCTGTGCCCACCATGTAGAAAAGCATGGGGCAGAAATATCCTGCCTGGGTGGCATGGAGGATAAAGGCCAGAGACTAACCTGAGGACTCTTGGACCAGCCAGTGCTTCAATAGCCCCCCTCTCCCCCCCAAAAGTTTTGGGGCACAGCAGAAGGCCCCTCCATACTCAGGAGGTGTCTGCATTGGACAGTTGCTTCTGGCCGTGGAACCAGGGCTCCATCTGTCCATTTAAGGCAATGGCTTGACCGCCTACACTCTGTAAACGGTGGCTCTCTGGTCCAGGAGTCCCCTGCCCATCTCCTAGATTCCAGCTGGCACAGCACAAGCAGGAAAGAGAGGTGGGGGTGGGCCACGTGGGTGTGAGTGGGCAGGAGGGCACTGAGTCCCATTTACCGAGGCATTTTCTGTCTTGGATATGTGGGTTTGTTCTCTCACTGTTCAGTGTGCCCGTTAACTGCGGGGGTGGGGGGACCGGAGTTACACCTTCTCATCAGCTCCTCATCTTTGTTGAATCCTGACTGGTGCCCACAGCCCTCAGGGCGCTCGGTTGGGATCCTTTTCCCATTTGGCATGGCAGGAGCCTAGCCGTGAAGGGTGGGAGCTGGGACAGATAGAAAGTCCGAGAGAGAGGCAGAGAGAAGGCACAGAGAAGCATATGAAGAGATGCACTGAGATCGGGGCAGAGAGCCTGGGGGTGGGTGGGGGAGATGAGAGAGAGAAAGAGAAAACAAGAAGACAGAGAGAGTGAGACAGAGAGACAGAGAAGAGGTAAAGAAACAGAGAAAGGTAAAGAGATACAGAAACGAGCGAGGCACAGAGAGAGACACACGCAGATTGAGGCATATAAAGGAAGAGTAAGAATAAGTGGCCGACACTGGAGATCCCCTTGCAGAGGGGTCTCGGGGAGGAGACGAGCCAGTCAGGGTGCGATGTAACAACGATGAGAAATACAACTTTCCTCTAGTTCCTAAATGTTTCCTCCCCACTCCCACTACCATGACTCGAATTCGATCTTGCAAGTCTGGCTAGACCAGAGGAGGTACACTGGCACAGATAGGAACTGAAAATACAGGGAATCCAGGACGGATGAGCCCTTCAGGACCAGTGGTGTGAGTGGTGAAACAGGGAGGGTAAAGGGAGAGTGGGTAGGAAAGAGGGAACCAATTACATGGAACTGTGTGTGACCTCCTCCCTGGGGGACAGAGAACCGAAAAGTGGGTGAAGGGAGACGTCGGACAGGGCAAGATATGACAAAATACCCATTTATAAACTATCAAGGGCTCATGTGGGAGGGGGGAGCGGGGAGGGAGGGGAAAAGTGAGGACCTAATGTCGGGGGTTTAAGTGGAGAGAAAATGTTTTGAGAAACGATGTGCAAATGCGCTTTACACACAATTGATGTGTGTGTGGATTGCGATAACAGTTGTATGAGCCCCTAATAAAATGTTAAAAAAAAAAAAAGAATAAATGGCCGAGAAATTGAGACAAGCAAAGAGCAGACAGACAGATGGAAAGAAGTGGAGAGTGATGGATATATATACACAAAGACACATATAATCCGACAAAGATTTCAGAGTAGAGGAAAAAGATCACTGGGGAGACAACGCAGACAGGGAAAGGGACAGGCGTGAAGGAGAAAGACAAGACAAACAGACGCAGAGAGAGAGACAGATGGACATCGAGGTGCACAGGCTGAAGGAGACAGAGGACCAGCTCCGTGGGGCCGGGGGGCAGTGACCACAGAACTTCTCCATGCTCCTGGACTCCTGGGCTCCCGGGGCTCCCAAGCCAGCCGGCCTCTACCCTTCTTCCTCGTTACCACGCTGCAGCTTCATGCTAAGCTGAGTGAAGAGGCAGACGGGACCCAGAGCCCAGGCAGCTCTTCTGGGTCAGTTCCCATCAGGGAGCTCCGTTACATTCTGGAAGCTCCTTGGGAACTTTGAGTGGCCCTGTCCACTTTCGGACAAAGAGGCCATATAGGCAGTTTCCTTCAGAGGGATGCGGTGGTCGAGGGCGGTGGTCCCAGCCTGAGCTGCCCTGCCCCTGACTGACGCTGCGGATGGGGTCTTGAGTCTCGCTGAGGACCGTGATGCAACTCCAGCTTCAGACAGAGCCAACCCCTCTCTGGAGCTGGCATCCCTTGACCTTTTGGCCCCTTCACCCTGCTTGTGCTAAATGGGGCTGGCCTCACTGCCCTGTGCTGGCGCTTGGGGGATGCCCTCTGGAACGGCAGGTGGTGTGTGAAGAGGAGCCGATGCATTTCCTGAGTGGCAGTGACAGGCTGTGTGAGAGCCTGGCTTCCCTGCATTAACCACCTTCCCCTCTCCGGGTGGGGACTGCCCATCCTGGAAGCTTGCCTTCAAGGGAAGGGGCAAGTCTGCAGACAATCTCCATCTCAGACTTGGGAGTACCGGTCCAAGGAGGCCAGGGATGCACATGGCAAGGAAGAGCCACAAGAGCTCACCCCCTTAGAGAGTGGCAACTCTCCAGAGCTCTGCACCCTCCACCAGCAGCTGCCCGTCACCACCCAGAGAGGACCTCCAGCTCTCAAGGAAGGGGACACGGTAAGTCCCTGCCTGCTGTGTGCACGTGGACACCAGGGGGCGTCAGTGAAGCCCAGCCCCAGAGGACACACTGACCCAGCGGGGCATCCTAGAGCTCCTATGTCCTGCGGGCCTGCAGAAGCCTGGCGTCAGGCACGGGGCTCTGGCCCCTGCTGTCTGGGTCCGATGGCCCAACTCTATCAACATCCTATGTGAGGTGGAGACAGTGCCGGTGCCAGAGCCCAGAAAGTTGTCACTGAACTTGGGGGACAGTTTGGGAAGACCCACTCCTCACTGAAGTGTCTTTTATAAAGAGTCAAAACTTCGGGAGGCAGGGTGATGGACCAGGCCCCAGGCGGAGGACCCTCCTTCTTGCGATGCTTACTGTTCATCTCGGGGAAGCCTCCGGATGGGCCTTCATCACGCCCATGTCTTTGCCTCACCCTTGGCGCCCAACCTTTCTTGGAAGGAATGGGGAGAACAACCCCTAGGAAGACGTTCCCACCTGGTTACCTCGCCTCCCCGCGCCCCCCCGCCCCCAGATCAGGGGCACCTCTGTCCCTTGCTCTCGGTTCGGTCTCTGGGTGCACAGTCATGGGTCTTCAGGAATCTGCCAGGCCCCCAGGATATAAATAGTCCATGTCATATCCAACTATTAAACACGATGTTAATCCCGCTGGTGATGTTGCCGGCTTAACTTGGAGGAGGGCGGCTTTGATGTAGCTGGTGGAACCAAGATCACAGCGAACAGATGTTACAGCTGAGCGTCTGCTGGTGTTTCCATCAGCAACTTGCATGTGCGTGTGCTCACCCGTGCGTGCGTGTGCGTGTGTGTGTGTGTGTGAAGAATTGCATCAGGGAGGGGCTGAGAGAAGAGAGCAGCCTCATGACTCAGTGATTTCATTGCACCTCCATTTGAAACTTGGCAGCTGGACACAGAATCCAGATGTGGTGAGGCTTGGGCGTGTTAAGCTTTCTCTCCCATTACTCAATCTGGGGCTTTGTCTTGCGTTGGGTAACACAGAAAGACCAAGGGAAACAAACAACAAATGTGCTTTTGCTGAGCTGGCATGCTTCGTGATTGAGTGAGAAGACTATCAGGCTTGCAGCTCCGACCCAGCCCACGGCGCCCACAGTAAACAGCAGGATGCCTCCTGAATGAGCCAGCGAATTCCCCGCGGGGGGGCGAGGAGGAGAAGGGATAGAAGATGAGTGCTTTTGCTTGGAAGGCAGGGGAGGGGAGGGGACACCGTGGGACCCGTGGCTAAAGGCCTTTCTCCCGTTAGGACTGTGAGGGGCATGTGGGGAGCAGCCATCCGCTCTGAGCACCGGTCCTGTGGGATTCATGGAAGAGGAGGTGGAAGCCAGAGGAGCGGCTGACTCGCGGTGCGTCAGGTGCTGTGCTAAGGGCCTGACGTGCAGGAGCTAATGTCATCCTTTCCGCTAGGAAGTGGGTGCTAGGGCCTCCGTTTACAGAGGGAAACAGGGGCATAGAGGTTGAATCACTTAGCCAAGGCGGCTCAGCCAGTGGCAGAGCCAGAACGCAAACGAGGGGGAATGCTGCGCATTGCCTCGGGGACCCCTCTGGGAGCCCCAGCGTTGTCCTCTGACCTCAGAGTCGCCCGCCCTCCTGATGTGGCTGAGCCCTCCTTGGAAAGCTTCGAGACCTGGCACAACGTGTCATCGATGCTGCTGTGAGGTGCCGTCAAGGTGGCTCTGACTCATAGCCACCCTGAACCACAGAGCAAAACACCGCCAGGTCCTGCGGCAGCCTCACAATGGTTTTGACGTGTGAGCCCATTGTTGCAGCCACTGCGTCCATCCAACTTGATGAGGGCCCTCCTCTTTTTCACTGCCCCTCCACTTTACCAAGCATCATGCCCTTCTCCGGGACTAGGCTCCCCTGGATATGTGGCCCGCGTACGTGAGGCCAAGTGTCACCATCCTTGCCTCTCCGGGTTATTCTGCCTTGACTTCTTCCAAGACCGATTTCTTGGTTCTGTTGGCAGTTCATGGTACCATTGATATCCCTCACCAGCACCATAGTTCAAATGCATTGATTCTGTTTTGGTCTTTCTTATCCAATGTCTCCAATTTCCCCATGCCGATGAGGCGATTGAAATGTCCATGGCTTGGATCCGGCACACCTTTCCTCAAAGGAACATTCTGGCTGTTCAAGACTTTAAAGAGAGGGTCTTGTGCAACAGAGTTACCCAGTGCAATGCATTGCCTGATCTCTTGAAACCCTGCTTCCACAAGCATTGCCAGTCCAATCCTTGACAACTGCAGTCTTTTCTCCACTTATCATGTTACCCATTGGTCCAGTTGTGAGGATAGTGGTCTTCTTTATGTTGCGTTGTGATCCGTACCGAAGGCTGCAATCCTCGATCCTCATCAGCACGTGCTTCAAGTCCTCCTATTTT